CTATGTAGGTATATCATCCTAGGAAATAATTGTCCATTCACCTACCAAATTTATAAGTATTGATATAGATTCAAAGTACTTATTGTGGCCCATTTATATGTGCTACCTAGAGATAGAATGGATTCTAAGTTCTATACCTAGAGTCACAGAACATGCCACCATGCCCTGCTTTTTACATGGATCCAGGGGATTTAAACTCAGACCATCAGGCATGCACAGTAGGCACTTCACTGACTGAGCCATCTCTCTCAACCTCCTGGAAAGTGAGATAACAAAAAATATCTAGAACTGAAAAAAGAAAAAACAAAGGAAAAAGAAGGAAAATACGCATCAGGTCCCTGATCACATCTAAGCAAATTTTCAACATTTATTTATTAGTTTTTTTTTTTTTCGGTGGTGGCTATATGGGCCAAGGTATGTGTGCCTGATACATGTTTCAGAAACAAATAAGAAAATAAAGGCCCATCATCATATATCAAATGAGCAGCATTTACCAGCCTAGCCAGTATTGGCTTTCATAATACCATTCCATCTTCAACCAAAACAAATGTGAAAGAATGGAGATAGTAACTCCATTTAATTCCAAAACAATATTTTGTGTTATCTACTAGAATAATAATCTTAATCTGCAATCTCTTGACTATTGCATAATGGTAGTATAAATGTAAATCTAACCATAAATTTTCATGAGAATTGAGAATTCAATGAGAATCTACCTTGGAGCCAATTTTACTATTAATCAAGCAACAGTCTAACAGCATTTCTTTAACTGGTGACACCACTATAGCCAGCACTTAAGTTTACATGCTGATTCTAATACCATTAGTGATTTAATATCACTTGACTATGCTTAAAATAAACAAAAGAGTTCACAAAATAAAAACAAAAGATTAATGTTCATTCTGACTACACTTTGAGGCAAACATGAGGTAATATCTTACCTATTCAAAGAATAAACAGCAGTATAATAGAAAAAATATTTGACTTCTCGGTTACAATTTAAGCTTCTCAATATTCCAGGTCTATAACTACACTGTTCCCTCTAAACTTGTACTTATGTTGTTGACAGAGTAGCAATTAGTCACATGGAACTAGTATGAATTCAGATGTGTTCTAAGTATACAATACCCATCAGATTTCAAAAGTTTAGCTAAATATCACTACTAGTTCTATAGTGATGATACATGATACATAACATTCTCTTTCTTTTGGATATATTGGGTTCTGCAATATACACATTGTATCAAATTAAATTTCACTTGTAATTTTTTTTAACTTTCTTAGTGTGACTACTAGGAAAATTTAAATTACACTTGTGGTATATTTTCCAGTAGAAATACAACAATTGATACTTTTTAACATTGGCTACAACATAAAAGTGTCTGGGTACTTTTTTAAAAAATCTTATTTCTGGACCCCACTTTTGATGATTCTAATTGAGATGGCTTGAATTTTCATGGATATTTCCCACTGTTTTTAGTTAGCATACAAAGCAATGGGTTATATTATAGCATTTTTATACAAACTTTATTCTTGTTTGCTCTCCTCTCTCATGTCCCTCTCCCACCCCCAGACCCTGCCTGTCACTCTTCTTCCTTTCCCCAATACCCTAATATCCTCTCTTCTGCTTTTATGTCACATATTCTGTTATCTTTTATTTCCTCTTACCACCTTAAGAGCTCTTTCTTTGTCATGGTCCCTTTTCTGATTATGTGAACTCTACACATCCATTAGATAGATGATAGATGATAGAGATATAATTTAACATAAAGTATTAAATTATATATGGATATAATTAGATATATAATTTAACATAATATTTTGTGGTTCCATCCATTTCCCTGAAAATTTCATAGTTACTTGTTTACAGTTAAATAAAACTTCATTGTGTATATGCACTGCCTTCTTGTTATCAATTCATCTGTTGAGGGACATCTAGGCCAGTTCTATTTCTTAGCTATTGTGAATAGTATAGCACAAAAATAGTATAGATGTGCATGATCTCTGTGATGGCACTTAAGAGTCTCTTGGGCATTGTGAAAGCCAATCTCCATTGTCAACTTAACAGAATTTATAATCTTTATGGAAACATACCTTTGGGTATGTCTATGAGGATGTCTTCAGAAAAGTTTATCTGAGGAGAGAATACCCATGCAGAATGTGAGTGGCGGGACATCCCATCAGCTGGTGCCCCAGACTGATTAAAAATGAGAAAATGAGCTGAATACCAGCATTCATCTTTCTCTACTGCTTCATGCTTCTGCTGCCATGCCTTCCCTGCCATGATGGATTCAAACTGTAAACCAAAACTAACCATTTTTCCTTTTAGTTATTTTTGGTCAGGTATTTGGTAACAGCAATGAAAAAATAATACAGATATATACCCAGGAGTGGTATAAGTGGGTCAGAGTAGTATACATTTCATTTTCAGGAAACATCACTAACGACTTCCAGTGGGACTACACTAGTTCACATTCCCATTCAGCATTGAATAAGGTTCTTCTTTCCCCACATTCTCACCAGCACTTGTAGTTATTTTTACTTGTGTGATGTAAGTTGTTCTGACTTGAGAGAGATGTAAACTTAAAGCAGTTTTACTAAGAATTTACATTTCCTTGGTTGTTGAGGATGTTGAATATTTAAAATATATATATTTATTGACCACGTGTGTGTCTTCATTTGAGAACTATCTATTCAGTTGGTTAGCCCATTTACTGTTCAAGTGATAGGCAGGGGGTTGGTGTTCAATTTGGATTCTAGGTTTTAGTCATCTATTTCTTTGTGATTTTATGCAAAGTGGCTATTGGGGATGTATAACTGAAGGAGCATTCCCCTTGTCCTTGGACTTAAAACCATCAATACTCATTCACTGATGGTCTCTAAAGTTTGGCTATGTCATATGTCTCACTAAGCATTATGACTTGCTAAATATTCTTTCTCATCCCTTCATTTATTATTTATTATAAAAGTGGCATTTCCTGAAAACAAAACATGTTTAGATTTGAATGCTGTTTAATGTTTCTATTAAAGAGAGCTTGGCCAGCACAAGACACAAGTTCTACGTGTTTAGTGCCTCACACTAGCTCTTAAGTCTGGTAGTTATTAATGGGCTCATTTTAACTACCCCTGGGACTGATTCATCAACCAACAAATCTGAATTGGGACACAAATGATAATATTTTAAGACACTAACAAAAGAACCCATATAAACAAAGGATAAATGATTGGATATTTCATTAGGACACTCTCTACATAGGACACAAGGGTCAATTTTATCTATTTCCTTGCTTCAAAGTGGTGCCCACCTAAATCATACCCATCAGCTGTGTTTTATGGGTTAGCAGCCCCTACAAGGAAGAATTCTTCTTTCCAGTAACAGGGCCAACCTTGAATGCTTGGAACTTTGTAGTGCTAAAAGGTGGTAAATATCATAATTAAGTTTATAATAAAAATTAAATGTAAGTTACCATTGTTCAAAAACTTGTAAGTGCCAAACACTTTGCTAAATATTGTATTAGTATATGTTAGCTCATTACATAGTTTAAAAAAAGTCTGTGTTCCTTATGTTTCAGTTCAAAATCTTGTGAAAAACCATAGTGGTAGGAACTAGTAAGGCTGCAATTCAGGTTGTTAAGTCAAAATGCCTTGCTCCTTTCTTCATATTAAATGTCATAACCTCAACCTGTCAGTTCTTTAATCTACAAGAGTCCCAGTCCCTCCAACCTTTAGTCTGGGTTCCAGAATATGTAAGCCTTATCTTACAGAAGAAACCAACAATAAGAATGAGAAAGTAGCTTAGTTGGAAGAGCACTTTTCTGGCATGTGTGAGACCCTAGGTTTAATCTTCAGTACTGAAAAAATTTAAACACCTTCCATTATATACATGTATGAAATATACAAAGAATAATTTTAAAAAAGACAAAATTTGGTTTTCAAAAGACATTCAACAAGAAACTAATAGAAGGCAATAGGTTACAGTAAGGTGACAGATCATAAGAACCCCCTCATGTGCCTTTGCTACTAGTATTGGCATAAAGCAATTTTCACATTTCACTCATTCATTGTGATATTTCCTGGCAATAAAGAAGATCCAAGTCCATTTAACAGATATGAAAAACTGGAGCTTACAATAGTCAAAGAACAAATTTCAACAGTCTCAAGGAAAACCAAGAGCTACAATACACGGTCATTGCTAATCCCCCACAGCATCCTGCTGAAGAATAACCTAGAAGAAACAGACTCCTCACAAGAGCACCATTGTTAATGACCAAGTTCATCATGATAAAACACTAAAGCCATCCAAAGCCTTGTAAACCTTTACAGTCTTCCTGTCCCCAGACCTAGTACATCACAGTCTTCAGCCATTTGACTTTGTTATATAAAGTAAGATACGTGATCAGTAAGCTCTGGCCACACTTGTCCACACTAACAGCTGAAGACAGTCCTATGACAATACACAGTTGTTTTCATACTTCCTTTAAGGAGAGAAACAAGACAAAAAAAAGCAAGGAAAAAAGAGAGAAGGTTAGTTGATGTCGAGAGAAAGAGAAAAGGGGAAGAGAGAAAAAAGAAAGTAGACAAGATATAAAGGATCTACAAGAAGAAAGGATAAAAAAGAGGGGACATAGTAAAGAAAGAAGAAAAAGAAAAAGAAAGGCAAAAAACAGCAATATACATTTAAAAAATACTTCAAATACATCCAAGTCAAATCTACAAGGGGCAAGATCAGACAAGAGGAGTGACTTCTGAAAAGCTCAGAGGCAGAGGAGGTTACTAAAATAAACAAGAGATAAAGGAAAGGTCTAAAAATTAGAAAGGACCAGATTTAAAGAAAACGTAGGTCTCAGGCAGAAGGGGGTGTGGGAGAAAGAAGGAGAAAGAGAAAAACAAATGAAACAAGAAAAGGAAATCACCAAGAGGAATGAGCAGGAAAACTAGAGTGAATATGAGGAAAGTCGGGGTTAGGGAGCCAAGGAGTGAAGAGCAGAGAGTGAACTCACCCTCACAAAGCTGGCAGGAAACCATCCCTCCTCATCGTCGATCTGGCCCCACCACCAATCCTTGTTGGAAGCATCCAAGACTTTGATGACGTCGCCAGCTTTAAATGCCAACTCCCGGTTGGCCATGGTGACGTGATCCCATACTGCCTCAGCGCTAACGATGGAATCTCCAGTGATCAGCTTAAGAGACAAAATGAGAATACGTTCAGTCCATATATCTGACTAGCTTTATTGAGCATTCCCTCACCAAAAATGCTCTACTATTTAGTGAAAAAGCTTGTATATTCTAGTGGTGAGGTGTGGGGATAAAGGGAATGACAATAGCATGCAAGCTCTGTTGAACCACAAGACAAACAATGCTTTCAGCTCTCTATTAGCCAGTTCATGGAATGATGTAGCATGTGAATATAGACAAAGCATCATGTTTTTATCTATAGTCATGAACTTTTCCCCCCAAAATGAAAAGAAGCTGTAGTCTATCTCTCCTTGGTGTTTCAAGGCAGCCCTAGGTGCAGCTTGTAGAGATGTTTGTGTCAATAACTAAAATGAGGCTCGGGTGTATTTGTTTTCAATTTTCTATATTCCTCTCCTTTTCTTCCTCCCTGGAACTGACCAACTGAGAACTGGTTGTATATTATTTTCTCCACTATATCCTTTTCCCTATGGTAAGAGACAATGGCATTCACACACAATAGATCCTGACCATGTATCATCCTGCCCTCACTCACACATGGTGCCATCTAGATAAGTCATGAGAATGAGTGAGTATGGTATTCTGTGATGTTGTGACTGAGAAACTCAACAAATTCACTGAGAGATTTGTTCAACTGTCTTGTGAGATACACAGGGATTCTGTGTTAGCTTCTTCATTTGATGGATGAAGAAAAAAAAACAGGTAACAAAGAAGTAAAGGCATAAACTAAAGAGGCAAACCAGCAGGTCAGAGGTTATGCATGATCCTTAATATTAACCTGGGTCATTAGATTTATAGACATCAGGATGAAACTCCACGCAACAGAAGTCAAACATTTATTCCATTACTATATAAAACTTAGACACAGTCATGATACTCATCTAAACACACTTATAAAGATGGAGTGGAAGAAGGTAAACTGCATCTTTTTATCTATCAACCTGACTACTGTGTTATATTTTCATTTTCCCCCGAACTGCACTTTGAATTAGCCATCAGTTTTCCCAGCATGTGCCAGGAGAACATTCTGGAATTACAGAACATATGGCATACTAGGCAAAAAGATTCAAACACTATCTCTGCTGCACTGAGCTACTGAACATATCCTTTATAAGTAAGTTTTTCCATGAGCCTATTTTGAGGAAGAATTACCTGCCTAAGACAATCATGGCTCCATAAGATCAAAGACAAAACATTCCAAAGACATCAAGGACTGTCACCTACCCTTTCCCATAGATACATCTTACAGTAGAATTAATGCAATGATAAGGAAATGAATCCACAACATAATACATAGATATGAACACCTATATTTGGACATACCCTGTTCTTACTTAACATGTATTGTCCCTAGGGCCGTGACTAAGGCATAATTCTCTGCTCAGTGTAGTGTTTTTATGCCTTCCAAAGAAAGTAAGGCACACGGAAATCTCAGTATGGAAATCTCCAGCAGGAACTTTTATAAAGTATTTTAAATACCTTGTACTTTACTTATTGCAAATTATTTTCACATTCACTATATGAATTTTTTCACATCCACTATATCACTTAATCTTTATTAAATGAACGGTGTTTCACTATTATCTATATTTTAAATTTAAGGAATCTGAGGTTCAGGGAAATTAACTGGTTCTTCAGCCAATCACATAAGAATACATTACAGAGATGGGTATTCAGACCTCAGACCCATCAAACCATGCTAATAATACGTACTCATTTATACTGCACTTACAGAAGTCTATTTATAATATAAAAATGGATAGTTCCTAGTCTTAAAGTACCTTGAAGGAAATTTAATCAGTCAGATGCTACCCTTTCTTTGAGGAGTTTCACTTTTATGTTCATCTTGCTTTGTTCCAAGAGGAAAAAATTTCTGCTTATTCTGTCCTCAATGGAGAAAGAGAACTGCTGGTCACTGGCTGGTATGGTTTGAAAAGAAATGTCCCCCACAGGCTCATATATCTGAATACTTTATCCCCAGGTGGTGGTGCTGTTTTGGGAGGTTATGGAACCTTTGGGTCATTTAATCTAGCTGGAAGATGTAGGTCACCAGAGGCAGAACTTGAAAGTTATATTCACTTCTGGTAAAAGTCCAAGATCTCTGCTTCCAGATCTACCAGGATGTACACAAGTTGGCACATGCATCTGCTGTTATGGACAGACCCAATCTTGCCTCCATACCTTCTATGCCAAGATGGACTATATCCTTTCAAAGCATGAGTCAAGGCTAGGTGTGGTGGCACATGCCTTTGGCAAAGGCAGGTAGAACTCTTTGAGATCAAAGCAAGCCTAGTCTACATAGTGAATTCAAGGCCACCTGGATCTACAGAGAAACCCTGCTTCAAAAATCAAAAAAATGAAATAAAATAAAATAATAATAATAATAAAAGCATGAGCCGAAATAAACTTCTC